ATTGGAAAAGGTTAATACTGAAGGGTTGCAAATTTGATAAGGCAGTAAAAAAAATTAATTTATGTTATGGAACAAATCAATCTTTTCTACTTGCCACTGCATTTGTAATTTTTTTTTTTGCAATATATATTTAAAAAAAAAAGGTTTATCAAGCAAGCTATTTAATTTTAATATTAATATTAATATATTATTATTTGGTTAATCGACGTTTACTGCTCCTGAGAAGAAGAAAAAATCTGTCATTTTGTCCTGTTTTTGTTTTATTATTATTGCTTTGTTATTATATTATTAAAATACAAATAAATTCGTGCATGTGCCGCCGCTCACTCGCCGCGACGTTTAACTTAAAATCTTGTTCCTTTTTAAAAGCTCTTTAATTTGGTGATCCACCAGTTAAAGAATAATGATGGTAATCGATTTTTCGCCCCCATGCACTTATTATGTTACATAAAAAAAAATGTGTAAATCTTACAAAGATATGAGTTGTTAAATCTGTCAGTTTTCTGCTATTTAATGAGCGGTCCTGGATTGTGGGTATAAAATTAATATATAAAACAATTAGAATGTGTCCCAAAAGAATGCTTTTGCAAAATTTATTCTCATTAATAATATTATTAAACGTAAATTAATTTATTTAATAACACAATGGTTGTTACTGACTTTATTTATTTTATTCTATTTATAATAAAGGGAAATTTAAGATATTAATTTAATAGGTTAATAAACTATCCATCACGGGTCAAAAGTGATATTTAAACCAAGAATTATTGAGGTGTGTAAAGTTGGTGTCTGCAACTAAGAAGTTGCAATTTAGAATGTTTCAACATGGGTTGCAACTGGTTGCAGAATTTCAAATCAGTTGTAGACACCAACTTTAAAGACATGATAGATTTTGAATGTTGAATTCGGGAGCCCATTTTTCCTGGTAACTTTGTGATTATAATTTGAAACTATTGACTATTTTTTGGTTGGCTTATAAAGCAGTTAAAATATGCATGATCCATAGCTTTGGAAGTTGTATGACCATTTAATAAAGCTCTCGCCAAGTTTTTCTTCGTATAAAAAAACCAAAAATCATTTTTCCAATGAAAGATCTGTACGATTTTAGCCAATTAATATTTGTAATTTTATGGATGGCGTTCAAATGAAAACAGATATTTTATTGAATTAGTCAACATTATAGTTGACCACACTTTTTAAATGGTTTCACATCATTCCTTTTGGAATTTCATCTCAAACCTCCAGCAAATGACATTATATTCAGGCTTTCTTAAATTTTCACTTTTGGTAAGGTGAAATTGATGAAACAAGGGACTTTGGACTGATCCATTGCCATCAATGAAATATTAAATATGGTTAAAATGTTACCCAATGGATCACCAATGGACCACCAATATGCCAACCCTGCCTTGACCAGCTGTAACTTGGATACAAAAATGTACATTTGTGGATACCATGACATTTCCCAAAGGACATATGGAGACTTTTATCTTCAAATGAGACCTTGATGTTAATTATTCCAGATTGAAAAGTGACAATAAAAGATTTGAAGAATTACTTGTATGTCTTATCAGGGGGGTTTTTTTTTTTTGAGTATATAATTATAATATGCATACAATTAATTATAAAATCATCTAATAATTTTAATTAGTAGTTATAAGTCAAGAAATATGAAAATTTAAAATATTAGATTTCAATGAAGGGACCTGGCCTCTTGACTCTATTTAGTTGCCCTTAAGAGTTTCTTTTGGTGGAACAAAACACATTAAAATTTTTTCCTTCAGTGAGAAATAATAAACCATTATCATTGATTTAATTTTAGTTCAGATAAAATAAACAAAAGTGTATGTATTTTTATGTTTCTTTGGTATAAGATAAATTAATTAATATTAATAAATAAACCTTGATTTTTTAGAGTCATAAAGGACATAAGTCTGATGTCCCATTCCTTACAAGAAAACATTACAATAACAATGGTAAAATGGTCTCATTTGAACTTCTTATTGGTGAAATCATTCGACGTTCATGGTAATGATATATGACGAAATTTTTGACTCTAGTCATTGATGTGACGAAAGTATTGACTAAAGGTAGTTTCTCACCAAGGGCCATTTTGACAATTTGACGAAAGTAAAAAGTGTTGATGAAACTAAGAAGTGTTGACAAAAGTAAAATTGAAGTTTTTTTTGTTTTATAATAAAATATATACATGGAATAAATATTTTGAGTAAGATTACAATATATTGAATTGAATCTATAAAAGCAACGGTAATGATAATATAATAATAAAATATTACTATAACGACCATAAACCAAATTACAATACTGTCTAGCAATTTCCGCCACCTTTTTTTTACATCCAGTAATAAGTTTGAGAGATAATATTGCCTAAGGCAAGAAGAATTTGTTTTAAAAAAATGTCACGTCCACAAAATAAATTTTTTGGTGGACCTTCCTCATCCTCGAGATTTGGTTGTCCAAATGGTTCTTTTCCTTCAGAAATACACGACAAAGACAGGATTGATTGCGGGTTTTGTCGAATTGAACAATGCTAAACTCCCGGTCTTACTTGGAAACCTGATCTGGAAGCTTTGATGTTTAAGAACTTTCCCCAACGGAAGGGGGATTACGAGTACATTAAAATACAACCTTCAATAGATAGCTATGTAAATTACACAAAAATAAGGATGCTGTGCCCTGACTTGACTCGATCATTAGAAGCTCTTACTGCAGCCACGACATCCTGAGCGAGCAAAAAACCGCAACCTTGCTTTCGAATTTGGGGACTGCGTCTCTCTTTTTCAAGAGAAATAGGCGCATACAGCTTTCCTCAGATTTTCTACACCTTGACGATGGCCAATGACAAATAGACCTACTTGCACAAACTTTTGAGTTCCACTGAACCGTGCCAAGAAATCGCCCATTGCACTACTGAAATAGGCTGACAAATGTGCACAAGGACTCTGGGATGGTGAATTGGAGCAAGTGGGAACATTTCTTTGAAGGTGACGAATTTCGAAAACGCAGAACGATTTACATGCATGGTTTTGCCTATACAGAAAAAAGGACATCTCACTTGACGCGACTCGTGAATACGTTCCTGACCCGACACGGAAAAAACATTGTAACCATCAAATGTGTGGAAAACCAAAACCAAATGGATAACCTTCATATGGACGAATCTAAACCATGTCAATAGTGACGCAGCTGGATTACTAAGTCTTCATGGATGAATATGAACGATTATTAATTAATTCTAAGAATTTTCGGAATTGTAAAAACTTACCTGTATGATGAGTTATAACAGTTTGTGTAAAAGTGATTTTTCTTTAATTGTTAAATGGGGATTTCTAGGAACATACATTGCCTGAATTGAATTTTTGCATCCTTCTTAATTCTTCTTGCTCTATCCATGGATCGACTTCTATTACTTGGAAAATAACAGAGAAAGCAGTAATGTAGTTTAAGGGGAGATTATAAGAAAATTATATACCATTTTGAATGCACGTTTATGTGGATTAAATGTAAAAAAGTTTTGATGTTAAAAATTGCAAAATTAAATTACGATAAAAAGCAATTAACATTCGTAACTCGAAATACTGCCTTTTTTAAAGCATTTCTCTTCAATATCTTCGAATGTAGTATTTACGCATGCATTGTTTATGGTCAGCCGTCATGCTATTAATGCGGAGGGTTAACAACGCCGATCATTTCACAATCATGGGAAAAAAAGATTTTAGACAAAATAAATCCGGAAGAAAAAAATTTAATGAAAAAACCGCAAAAGGAAAAAGAGGTGGTATAAATGATGACGATACAAGATATCAAGGATATATTAATAATAGTGAAATGAGGTTTGTTTGTTGATTATATCAAAAAATAAAAGTTTTCAATACATATATTGAACAAATTAATTTTAATTAGTAATGAAGACATTTTGAAATTTGAAGGTATTTTAGATTATTATTACATTGTAGAAAAAAAACTTTTACTCAATATACATGCTTTTTTTTAAATATATTAAGAGGTTGATAATAACATTCCCATAAAACTTGGAATGTGGGTAAGCGTTATTTTCATCATCACCATAACTATAATAAAAGTTGTAAATTAAGTAACTCAAATTAAATAAAAAGTAGGATTTTGATCATTGTGATCCAAAGAGATGCTCTGGTAAAAAACTTGCTAGATTAGGAATGATAAAAAATTTCAGAATCAATCAAATGTTTAATGGCATAACTTTAAGGTGACTTGCATTCAAATCAATCAATATATACATAAAATCGCAATTAGTATTATTTTATTAATTTATTTTAGTCCACAAGGCCAAAGGGCAGTTTCCCCTGCTGATAAAGATATCATAAAAGACTTTGGTATAGCAGTGATAGAATGTTCTTGGGCAAAGCTGGATGATGTGCCTTTTACCAAGTTAAAAGCAAATCACAATAGATTACGTAAGCTGAATAAAGGAACGAATTAATTGATTTGATTAGATAGTTAGGTGGCTAACTTGTTAAATAATTTTCAAGTTCCATATTTAGTTGCAACTAATCCTGTTAATTATGGTAAGCCTTGGAAGTTAAATTGTGTTGAAGCATTGGCTGCCTGTCTATATATTACAGGTACATATATTTCACATATATTTATATATACATACATGATTATGAAAATCCAAGGATTAAATTAATATTATTATTAACATCAGGATTTCCCGAATATGCAGAAAAATTATTATGTAAATTTAAATGGGGTGATGAATTTTATAAAGTCAATGGGTAAATCAAAAATAATAATTATTTTTGAAGCATCTATATACTAGCAATCTATATTTATATAATAATTTTACATTATTATTATTGTTGTTGTTATTAGAGAATTATTAAATAAATATTCCAATTGTAAAGATTCTACTGAAGTTGTAAAAGTTCAATGCGAATGGTTGGAACAAATTGAACAAGAATATAACGATTCACGTAAAAGTATACATTTATATTCTTTACATATCATTATATTGATACACATTTTTTGAAAAATTAAGTAATAAATTTATTTTTATATTTTAAATACTAAAAGATAATGGAAACAATGATTTGTTAACTAGAAATCCTAATCATCAAATATATCACAGCAGTGACGAAGAAGAAGAAGGAGAAGAAGAAGAAGAAGAAGAAGATCATGATGACGATGATGATGACAAAGATGAAAATAATAATAATTAATGTGAAATAGAAATACTAAAAATCAATAGATCAATAATTGTATTAATTGATTTGGAAAAATTTATAATATTTATAAAAATATATTTTAAAAAAATTGCCAACTTATACCCCTTTTCTCACACCAGTTCAAATATTTCCAAGTTCATTCTTTCTTGTTATTATAATATCAAAAAAATGTTCATTTTAAAGTTCCCAACTTTTGCTTTTCATTTAAATATTTCATAATTTTTAATAAAATTAAAATGTATTGTGATCACGAGATCTAAAAATAGAGCATGTTTAACCATAACCACAACTATAATTATGGTAGCAGCAATTATTACCAGTAATTGAAAACGTGGTACTCGACAAATACAGATTACCTACGAGATAAGTTTGTCTGTTTATCATTAATCGTTATTATTAATCATTAAAATAATTTTATTTTGAACTTTTACTGTATGACTTTATTATATTCTTCCATTCTATTCATTACGAAAACCTTCGCTTCTTAATTTTGTGATTGCAGATGATAATCTTTTTTTATTATATGTGCAGGCTATAAAATTGTCCAATTTGCTAGTCTAGTCTATCGAAATCAAGTATCACAAAAGATAACAGAGCATTGATAGGCAAATGATAATTCTAAATCAGACACTAAAGCTCCGAATGAATTCAATGAAATTCGAACCTTGACTTATACCATATGAAATAATTTGAATTCTGAAAGGGTTGCCTTGGAAATAAATAATGGTTTTGAAAGTCAAAAAAAAAAAACACTTAACGCAATAATTGCATTTGGCTCTCTCATCTACAACTGTGAAATGGTTCCACATTTCACTTCTTGTTCTTCTTTGAGCACATTGCACTGTACCTGTTGAAGAAAAGTAATTGAAGAGGAATCGTTTTCAACAATGCAATTATAATCATTCATCATTGTTATATTTATGATGAATATTTAAAACAATGACCGTAAATTATATTACTTCTTATTTTAGGTGTCCGTAATAGTAATACAAATTCTTATTCGAATTATTCGTTTTATAAACATTCATAACAAATAAATCAAATCATTCAAATAACTATATTTAAATAGAAATCCTATTAACATGACTTTAAAGGAAATTTAGGAATTCGGTTCTATCTATGTACGAAACGCAGATTTGGATTTAAATTGCTAATTGTCAATTTTTACACAATTATACATTTTGTACATGAAATCGAAATTTATAATTAAAATTTTGGGGTGGGGTGTTTGGATATGAAATTCTGATTGGCTAATTTGAATTTCACAGATTTCATTTTCAGAAGAATATAAAAGGTTTTCACGTAGGAAACACTTCATTCACAGAAGATATCAGCACATATTAATTTCAGTACCATGAAAGGTTTAAACAAAAATATAAATTTATTTATATATATGTATGAAAATAAATAACCTTTTTTTTTTTAATAATTTAATGATATTTGATTGACCAAGCTTTTAAACATGCATCTTGGCCAACAGAATATAATGTATTGTTGTCATCATCTAAGAATGTTAAACCGGTAACATTATCTTGGTGAGTCCTTGGGATCAATATTCGTTTTGATGGATTTTCTACACTCCAAACGCAAATGCTTGTATCCAAGGAACAACTAGCCGCATGAAGTCCATCCGGTGACCAGGCAATCGCATTAATTCTAGCAGTATGTAATATCCATTGATCTATTTTGACTTTTTTGGTTTCATTGTCATAAACAATTATTTTTCCTTGAGAATTGCCTACGGCTATAAGTGATCCATCAGGCGAGTAAGCAATTGCTGTAATAGGACTTCGATTGGCATTACTCAATTTTTCATTTCGTTCTTCGAGTTTATTACCATCATCATTCAATTTATAAATATAAACTTTTGCATCCTAAATATTAATTATTAATTGTTTAGTTGCTATTATTCGAATTCAAATTCGAATTTAATATATATGTATATATATATTACATACTTCACAACCAACAGCTAATTCATTATTATGTTTATTGAAAGCAATAGCTCCAGGCGAAGAATTAGATAAAGGATGACTAAATATACTTTGATCATTTTGAATAATTTGTATATCAGATAAAGTGGCAATAATGATCTTGTTATCATCATCGTTTACACTTGTAATTCCTTTGGTGAGAGCTCCAGTTGGTACTGATGAATCTCTTTCAATAAGAAAAAAATAAGAATTTAAAATAAGAATTTAAATTAGTCAATATAAATGTTATTTATAACTATTTACTTACTTGAAAGTTTTTGTAGAATTATCAATAAATTTAACCTTATCATCCATTCCAACTGAAACTATTTTATTTCCTTGAGAAATTATTTGAACAATTTGATTTGTATGTCCTTGACCATTAATTGATTTACTACTTCCTTCCTCTGCACTCCAAGAATGTAAGTAATAAATTAAGGTTAAACAAATCTTTTTTTATAATATAATTATAGTAATTATTGTTTAGCATAACTGACAATTAGAAAAAATAACAATTTTAAAAAGGATATATATTCGACCATCATAACTTCCAGTAAATAATGTTCCATCTTTGTCACGTGTAAGTGCAGTAATTGCTTTTTGGTGTCCCTGCGGCGAATTATTTATCAATTTAAAAATAATGATTATAATTATATATTTTAATAAAATAATAATGATAATATACTTTAAATATAGCTTTACCTTAGCTACTTTTACAGGTGATGGCGACTTTAAATCTAAATAATTAATATCACCTGATAATGAAAGGCTAAGAATATATTCTCCTTGCCATAAATTACCAACTTGCTGGTCATCAATTGAGTCGGAAAATTTAAAAGTTCTTTGATCAAAAACAATAATAAATAAATATATAAAAAATATATGTTCATGTAATAATAATTTCCACAATATGAATATCGTGAATGAACTTACTGAATAACCTTTTGTCCTTCGACATCCCAAAGTTTAACAGTACGATCTACCGATGATGTCAACAATTGTTTGCTATCAGGTGACCACGAGACAGCATAAATACTGCCTTTGTGAGAATCAGATTCTCCTGCTTTCTCTGAAAGATCAATCAATTTTTCTCCAGTTTTTCCGTTATATAAAAATATCTATTATTATTATAATCAAACAATTAGAATCAGATTAAAGTAAATCGATTAAATATAAAATAAATGGTTTTACAATAATATCCACAAAGAAATTCATACTTTATTGGATCCAACTGTTACAAGTGTGTCACCATTAGGAGAAAACTTTACTCCTTGAACAAAGGAAGTATGATCTTTAATCGTCATGTTGTATTTGTATGGTGCACCATGATAAAATACTACAGTGTAATCGTCAGACCCTGTAGCAGCACGGAAAGGTCTTTGTTGACGAATACTAACAGTATTAACCACCTTTGAATGTCCGCCTACTTCTCCAGTAGAAGATCCAGTGTCAAACAAAAACGCACGCCCATATCTTTTTATTTATTTTAGGATTTAATTATTATCGCATAAATAAATGGGTGGATAGATAGATGGTTATATATTACTCGTTAAATAAATCATCACAGATTTTTTGACTTACTTTTCTTTACCATCACCAACAGCAATAATTCTTTTGCTTTCAGAATCCCAAGATAGATCATTAATTTTTCCTGCAATTACTTTTACTTCATTTTTTAAAATTTGTTCAGGTTGAGTTGCATCCCATATTCTAACATTTCCATGAATATCTTGTTAAACATATATGTATATATATAAATATAGTCTAAACAGTTATTATTGCTGTATTTACATGATAAATAAACATTTCAAATAAAAATTCATGTCTTTGCTTATTTTATTATTTACCACCAGATGCTATATAATAACCACTAGGTGAATAACGAGCAACGGTAGTTGCTGCAGAATGTTGTACATATTCATTAGAAATAGCAGGATTCTAAAATTTTAAAATTAAATTTTTTATTATCAATATTATTGTATACAATATAGAAGATAGAAAATTAAGGATACCAACAGCTAAATTCCTAATAATAATAGAATTTCCATTGGCGTAAAGAAAGTTTTCGCCTTTTGGATCAGAACCAAGTTGAACTGCCTGTCCTCGAACAGTAGCTGGGGCACAAGCAAAAATACTTTCTAATATCAAGGCAAGTAATAAATTAATTGTTATTATTATATATATAATTAAAGTAAAATAAAAAAGATACGCATACTTCGAACATATGACATTTTTCAAATTTTGTAGAAGTTAGATAAACATATGAATGAGTCTTACAGTAATAGTGATCGGCAGAGGAAAGTTAAAAATAAGAAATAATCGTTTTATTTCGAAGAATGCATTTTCAACTGGTTGCTAATATAGAAGAAAGTAAAAATACTTGCTCAAGGATATGTTGAAAATCTTCAATATAATGGAATAGAAGCTTAAAATATTTCTCGAACAAATCAAGATTTAGTCAACATCACAAAAAGCAGGCAGCGTTTAATTATGAACACACAGCACTTGTTTATATTAACATGGCGTATATATGCTGTATGATTAATGTAACTTTCGAGTTTGCACTCTTATTGGGCAATACACATTTACTATTGTTCTTCATGAAAGTTTTTAGAATAGAATATTTTTTTAAAAAAATGTTTACGCAAAATTATTTAGGAAATGAGATTATATTCAAAGATCAGATCAGACAATGTAAAATATTAATTGGGCTTATTATTTATAGCGATTAACGGATTTTTTCTTTGATCGACATTTCAGACGAATTGATCAAAAACTACTATGAAAAGATCTGTTTGTAACATTTGTCATTAACCACTAGCACCCAACGATCTTCCTACACATCTAAGAGATGTTCATAAATGGCTTGAAAACAAAATGAACTATAATCAAGTAAACAACAATTGAACTTTATCTAAAGTTTCACAATAGACAATCATCTAACTAACTTGAAATGGTACCTTTTTCTGTGGTTAAAAGTGAAAATTATGTTACAAATTACCAAGTTTCTTCGCTGCTGCGCCATGCGGCCATGGGAGAATGATCTACCAAGCTGAATTTTACTTTTAAATCTCTAGACAAAATTTTTCCTCAAATCATTCTATGTTTTATTGTGATGTTAAAAACTAAATTCTAAATTTTTCGATCAATACAGCCTATTTCTCCTTGAAATCTATAACATATTTTCTTATAATTTAGGTTTATTATTGTCGTTGTTATGATGATGATGATTATGATGATTATTGATACTTTGAAGTTTCTTTTCAATTAATTCTAAATCATTTAAATAATCTTCTAATATTTGATTTAATTCATTTGTTTTTTCTATCATAACCCAATGCCCGGATTCTTCAATGTGCTATAACACACCCAAAAGATTGTTTTATAATTAATATCTGAATTAAATATGAATATTAATTTGTTAATTATAGAAATTAATTCATTTTTACCTTTACTGTTAAATTCATACAAAATTTATTCATTCCTTTAGCCATACTTGGTGGCAAAGCTGAATCTTTACCAACAGTAATCTATTTGAAATATCAGAACAAAAAAATATGCATTTAGAAATATATTCATGATTCATAAATTTATTAACATAAATTTGTTACCATTAATGATGGATGATTAATTTGTTTTCTTGTGCCTAAAACATGAAAAAGTATTATAATTAATCAACACAAACTATTCCAAAAAAAATAGATGATTAATCATTTAATTGAAACCTTTCTCATCTTGAAAGTTGACTTTTCTTGTTTTATAATAATTCAGGCCACCATGAAATCCATTTGATTTATATTGTCTCACATAATAATCCAATTCCTAAATAATGACTTTTAAGAAAATTTAATAAAATAAATAAGTAAATTCACAATAAAAATTAATTGATACCTTTTGACTAATTATTGAACTTCTTGGCACATCATGTACTGCATCGCCCAACATAGAATTTCCATCAAAAAGAACTACATGATGCTCATGTTTGGAAGAACGGAAAATACTTTTAAGAAATAATTCTGTCTAATAAATCAATATTGTCATTAACCAATTAATTATTAATTATTATCATTAAAAAAATAGATATATATGTATTTATAATTTTGCTATTTACATTATTATCTAATTCAATTTCTGCTTTAGGGTGGGAAAGATAAACTTGGTATGAAAGATTTGGTAACAATTCTGCTATAGATTCAATTTTTATATAATTCTCACGTGGTGGTGTATATGGTGTACAGATACTAATTAAAACAGATAAATATATTAATCAATAATAGTAGTAGTGTCAATAGCAAAAGAAATATCTTGATTTAACCTTATAACAGCTCTAACTCTGTCAGGATAATGTATGCACATCCTCCATGCTAAAAATCCTCCCCAATCATGACCCAAAAATATAGCCTTTTGAATATTCAATTGATTCATCAATTCAGTCATATCTTTGCAAATATTTTTAAATCCATATTGGTGTAGATCATTTGGTGGGCAATGAGGTGCTTCCTTGATAAGAAAAAAATGGTAATGATATTGAGGAAAACAATTGATAAATCATATATTTGTAAAAGAAGTTCCCAAGAGATTTTTTTTCACTCACAGTTTGTCCACATCCACGAAGATCAGGAACAATAACTCTGTATCCTTTAGACACCAAAAAAGGTATTTGATACCTCCAGCCATACCATAAATCAGGAAACCCATGACATAGAAATATTACTTCTTTCTTTCCAATTTCTTCTCCTTCATCAACATAATCTAATAATTATAAAGAAAATTTATAAATTTTGGAAACGTATATATACATACATAAATGCGTCTTGATAATTTACGGTATGTAATTCCATTTACAAATGAGAATTTATGTTTGAAAGACTCTGGATTTAATGGATCAGGACGTTTAAATAGTGCCATATTATTAAATAATTGATTATTAAAAAAGAGAAAGAAAAAAGGCGTTAATTTATACAAATAAATCTTGTGTAAACCGTATGATAAAAAAGAATCTCTAATCTAATCAATCTAATTTTATTATAGGATATCAAATCATTTATTTGTTACACTTAATTTATGCAGAAAATGAATAAAATCAAGACCAAGACCAACTTATACATCAAGGTCAATAATCCATCAGGAGATTTACGAATACAAGAGCAAAATACTGCAAATACCCGAAATGCCGTCATCTTTGCACCAATATAATGAATGATGAGTAGTAAAAGAAAAATTGTATTGAATACCAAGAATATTGATTTAATTAATCCTATAAAGCTCTGATTCTTGCAATTACAAAAATAAATAAAAATAAAAACGATGTTAAAATCTTCAAATGTTTTTTATTAAAAAAATGGATAAAAACCGCGAACATATTGTAACTGAAAGATTTTAGATCATTGTTCTTTTCAAAGGTAAACAAACACACTAGAAAAGAAATTAGTGGTTTTACAGTCGATTGTGCAACCATTCAGATTTATAAGCAAACAAAGAACAAAAGTTTTGAAAAATTGTTGTTAATAATATAAAAATTCACTTGATCAATCCACAGACTTAAATGTTTTCGATTAAACCGATTTATAGAAATTTGTATCAAGTTGACTTAAATTCGCCCAATGCAACAAAAAACCACTTCTGAATGAAAATCAACATCGGAATCGACTTGACTGGAGGAATGCATATGAAGTGATGAGTGTCGCTTTACAATATTTGGTAGCGATGGGCCAACACGAATTTGGCACAAAAATGAAACTTGTTTTAATATTGAAAATTTGTAAATAATAGCGGAGGAAGAATCACAGTTTTGGGTTGCTTTACAGTTAAAGTATTAGGATCATTAGTAAGAGTAAATGGAAAGACCAATCATCAAAGATTATATTAATATTTTAGAGGATCCATTGTTGCTATTCATTTAAGAAAATTTTTCTACTACCGTAAAGTCCGGAAAGATAGCACCTCTACTTTAAAACAATTGAACGTCAATATAAAAAAAATGTTACACATGTAAAAAGCTATCTTTCCAGACTTTACGGTAATCATTACAAATTTCATTTCAAGGTGACACGGCGTAAAATGGTTATCTAAAAAAAAGGTCTCCAGACTTTAATCTAACTAAACATCTATGGGATGATGAGCTTGGTAGAAAATTAAAAAAACGTCCCACACATCTAAACAATAAAAATGAATTAGAAAATCAACAAATTTCACGCGAAACATAAATATTTGAAATTAATTGATAGTATTCCCAAGACGCATCGCCAAAAATGGACGGCCAACTAGATATTAAATTTTGATCAAATCAACAATACACTTTTGTATAAATTTTGGATATAATCCTGTATATATATATATATATATATATATATATTCAATTCTATAAAACTACGGGAGTATAAGTTCACCATTAACAAAGAAAATTTAGATAGGGAAGTGGAATTCATGCTCGACGCAAAATTATTCAATGATGAATCATCTGGATTCTGAAACCTTGATTATCCTTCCAATCAAAAAATCCGTATAAATTCTTAGAAGTTAGTTATTTGACCTAATAATTTAAACGAGGACCATTAATTATTCCACTGTCGATTAATCGCTTAATTTTCTTCTTGATATGATCAAAAAGGATTATTGTTTTAAATTTTTTGCTCATTAATAAATTTTTATTTCGTATTGAACTTTAAGGTAACAAGATTTTTAGCAAATTATTTAATTGTTATTCCACACAATGGAATGATTAATGAAAATGCAAATTATGATATAGAATGAGCGATGGTGTTGTATTTAATAAAGAATCTCCAAGTTGTACGAGGTAAAAATAAGATTCTTTTACATAGCTTGAAACAAGCTACAATGAACCAAAATAAAAACATTATAACTATTATTTCAAAATAAAAAAGATATTAACGTTTTAGCATAATCGTAATTATATATAATTTAAAAGCATCATTACTACTAACCTGTAAGAACATATGACATTATCAAATAAAAATAATCTTCCCAAGATGATTTGCCTCTTTCAGTGTCTAAAAGCTGAATTTCGTCTTCAAGTATTTTCAACTACACAAGAAAAAAGATTATTATTGTGATTATTATAATATATAATATATAAAGATATATATGTGTGTGTGTATTAACCTCATGAAAGTAATCATTATTGACATCAAAGGTCATTTCTTTCATTTCTTTTGAAAAGCTAAAATGCCAAAAAATAATCAATAACCAATTGATTGTTTATAACATAAAACAAGACTTGAAGGCTATAAAATATAATATTTGCCTGCTATGCTGATCTTCAAGATCATTTAACACATTGTTGATATTATCAAGCTTATCATTTAAAGAATTTGCTCCTATATCAATACTATCTTTTAATTCATATAAAGATTGACCTTTTGTTTTAGAATGTTTAGCAATTATAAAATTATTTGATTCCAATGAGTAATAATCATTTTTTTGTATAGCATTTTCCTTAACAGAAAGTTTTTCCTAAATAATATATATACATAATGATTATTAATTAGTTCACCAATCCAATAATTCAATAGACTCCCATTTACCCTATATGTTTCTAAGAATTTAGTTGCATCTTGAATATAAGTATCACATCTGCGCAACGATTCATCTATTTCTTGTTGAACAAAGCTGATAGATAATTTAAATTATTAGAAAAAAAAAATCCAATATTTTTTTAAAATGCAATTTGTACCTTTGATAATCTTTATTTGTATCTCCAAGAAGTGAAACATCCAAATTCAATGGATTCACTATTAATTACCAAAATGAAATTAGTAAAATAGATATTGATTTATATAATTGAATTAATTTTTTTTACCTCCGTGATGAATCGACCTTTTGAACTTGAAAACTTCATTCAAACCATAATCTAGCTCAACTAAAATTACAAATCACAATATTCATTAGATAAATTAACGAATGAACAAAAAAATCTTTTGATAATAAACCAACTAATTATTTAATCAACTAAATTAATTTACTATATCTTTCATTTTTTTCTGCTGGCGATATTAACCCCTTCTCCTGATATGTGTAGATTAAATCAATCAGTTCATTAGGAAGTACATCAGTATTAACAAGAATTGTTTCTCCAGATAACCTTGGACCATCATTACTATTTTCTTTCGCATTTTCATCTAATTTATTATTATTATTGATAATCAATAGATAATAAATATAAAGATTGACAATTTTAGAGAAGAAATAAATAAATATAATTGTAAATCTATGTTTTGCCCACCCAATTCCATAACATTATCGGTTGCTTCAATATCACTGAATGAATGATTTAGTTGGTCATCTTCATAATATATATTGTTGTTGCTGTTGTTGTATTTTTGAGAAGATTCTTTAATGTTTGAAGAATCCAAATTATTCCCATTCTTTTTTGAGTTCAATAATGTTGAATCTCCTAAAGGAGAATCCTTTGAAATTTTAATAATAACAAGAAATATTTCATGTTAAAGAAAATTATCACGTACTCAATTACATAATAATTGAATTTGATGATACCTTTATTGAATCATCCATAGAATGTCTAGCTGAAAATGAAGAAGATCTACTAAAACCAATGGAAGTAGAAATGGAATCATCATCTTTACTAGAGCTATTATCATTTATAAAATTATCATCCAAAAAATTTTTTATTCTTGTTGTATTCTCATAATCATTTTCCATAAACCTTGCATCCGAGGATTCATCATAGTCTTGAATTGTATATATGATGTTATTATTTAATTTTTCTTGAGATTTTTGCGCGTCTTCAACAGAATTCATTATTTCACCAGAATACGTTGGAAAATCATTCATTTTTTCTAATGGTGATTGAACTGTTAATGGTGAATAGTTTTTTTGAGTTTTTATTATCGTAGTATCATCAGTATTAACAGTTTCATTAGATTCTGCTAGATCATCAATAATATCATTATTAATATTAATATTGCTATTATTATTACTACTATTGTTACTACTATTGTTGCTATTATTGTTATTAGTGATTTTTTTATCCATCCATTTAAGTAAATGCAATGACAATCGTCTATATTTGTTGTTAGGATCTTCTTTGAATGAATGTATGTTATTCATACTTAGTGCTTTTGATCTTTTTTGTAGAAGGTTTTCATTGTTTTCTGAATTAACAACTACATGTTTATCAGCAGGTGGTGACAGCGACGACAACGATGGCGATGATGATGAAGGAGGAATAAAAATCTGTGATAATCGTCGTTTTGAATTATTATTGGTATTATTGTGTAGAATTGGTTCTGTAGTGGCACGAACAGGTTGATGATCGTTTGGAGAGGAGGCTATTGGATTCTCTTCTAAAATGTAATCATCATTATTTAATTGGTCATCTTTTTGTTCTTTTGTTGTGTTAGTATCAGTTATATTTGTTAAACTAATAACAGATTTATTATTGTTATCGTTGTTGTTGTTGTTAGTGTTATTATTGTTGTTGTTGTTTTGTTCATATTCCTTTAAAATTTCAATGTGTGAGACTTGCCATATACTATGACGATTTCTTTTTTGTTGCGCTATTATTATAGAATTTTCATTATCGAATTCACTATTTTCTATATCATTTTCATTTTCACTACTATTTATCCTTTCGTTATTTCTCTTTTTTATTACCTGAAGTGGATTATAAACATGGTCATTGTTTATTAATTTAAAAATAACATCATATTTGGTTTCAAGAAATTGTTTACACATTCGAGAATTGTTTAAAGTAGCATCCGATGGATTAAACCCTTTTTTTTAATAAATTCACAAGCTAATTATTATAAAATAAATATAAAATACAAAAATACATATATCACTAATGAAGAACAAATATAATTAACTACTTACTACTAGAGCAACTATTATTCTCTTTGGGATATTTCTCATGTTCTATTACAGATAAACGTGATTTATTCATTTGATCTGCATGTCTTTGTGTGAATTTTGCCAATTTAACTACATCTTCATCCTTTTCACTTGCAATCAAATCAGCAATGGATTCTAAATTTATTAAAAAATTGCAATTATGTTAAATATTAAAAACAATTAATAAAAGTACGAAAGTGGATTAATAGAATGCCACCAATATACCTTGCTTTCCATTATCATTCATCAAATTTCCAAATCCTTTCCCTGCATTACCAATTCTTTCTCTATCAAAAGACCATTCACGCTCTTCAATTGAAGTACTATTTCTTTTTGACATGTTGGTATTAAAAGCGTTATTATTTATATCACTGTTACTAATTTTGTTGCTGTTGTTGTTGTTTCCTTCTAATGCCATGTTACCTGTTATTTTAAAAGTTAAATTATTATTATGTTTATTTATTATTGCAGAATCGAAATATTTGATTTGCAGTTTTTTAATTAAAAATTAAAATTTTGTTGTGACACGAATTTATATGTAAAGTGAATCGGGAGCAAATGATCTACATTTAATAGTGAAATTACGTTACGAAAATTACTAGTAAGAATTGCCAATTGTCAACCTTTATACAAAAAGTATTGTTCCCTTTAGATAGATTGTGACACGACTTTTATATATAATCTCAAAAAATAATTTTATATAAAAATTAAAGTACTGTGATATTTAAGACTTTGCTATGGAGGAAACGCAGATTTGGGGGTGTGCTCCGAATTCATTCATGGATCAGCAATTAAGCTATTACATATTCCGCCTTTTTTTTCAAAAAGATTATAATAATCACATTTTGGAAATATTGAAAAAACCGGGCTTATATTATTATTACATGACAAAATACTTAAAAACGGTTTCAAAAAATGATGAAATTTTTAAAAATTCATTCATTCTTACAAAAAATAAATAGAACAAGGACATTATTCATTTATACACTAAAAACCTATGATTATAATAATAATTATCATTACTATTATAATTATTATTACATCAATAAATGTAAGCTGGCTAGCTTTAGTCGAAATTCACAAAAAAACAAATCTTCTTTATTGAAACCTGATGACCTAAATAACAATCAATTTCCAAAACTTCTTAGAAATGCAATATCAAATAAAGATTTAGAATTAGCATTAGATTTATATTATTTGCAGAAAGATGATATAAACAATTATAAAGATTTGATTTATTTGGATTATGTTGATTTAATACAGTTATTGAAGGAAAAAGGGTTATCAGATCCATCAAAGATTGACAAAAGATTGAAACAAATGGAAAGAGCCAAAAGGGATCTTATAAAATTGCAAATAACTCATGATATTGAAATTTATAATTTAATTATTTCAACATATTTTGAACTAAAAAGGTATGATGGCATTTGGGACAATTGGAGAATTATTTTACAACAAAATGAAACACATCCAAAAACTATCATACCAAATAATACAACATTAAAGATAATAGTAGATTCATTTGTTTATTATAAAGATAAAAGGAATTTAAAAGAATTTAAAAGACTTTATGAATTGTTTAAGAAAAGAAGATTTAAATTAGATGATGACATTTATTTATCATTTATCAAAACTTTTGGTGATTTTGGATCAGTTAATGGCTTTGAAATGGTTTTTAAAGATTATTTGAAAATAAAATTTTATGATCTAAAGCCTTTAATTTTTGATGAATTGATAATTCAATACATCCGGAATGATTTAGATATAAATGGAGCATTGAAAATCTATGAATTGATGATAAAAAAAACCTTAACACCATCAAGAAAATCTCTTATCATAATATTAAATACTTATTTTGAATTGAATCGATTTGAAGAGGCTGAAAATTTTTTTAATGTTGAAATCAAAAAAAGATGGAATATTAATAATGATATAGCAATAATTAATCTTATGATATCTGGCAATTTCAAAATAGCTGAGCATTATTCAAATAAAAATAAGAATAGTAGTAAAACATATGACTACTTGATAAACTCACATATTAGAAAGGCAATAGAATGGTATTATTATGTTCTTAATAATAATGAGAAGATTGAATTAAATTATTCAACTTTTAATGTTTTAATTGAAGGTTTTGGTAGATTCAAAAAACTAGATCAAGTGAAAAATTGTCTTAAAGAAATGATTGATTTAAATATTAAACCAAATTTAACAACTTTTGAAATACTAGCAGATATTTATACTAAACATCGAGATTTGCAGAGTGTACTATTAATCTGGAAAGATTTAATGAAAATAAAATCATCATTAAATCCAACATTTAATACTTGGATAGTTTTTATTAAATCTTTAATTTTATGTAATAGAGTGGATTTGGCTTTGGAATTCATGAAAAGGGGCCAAAAAATTTTAAATAAAGATTGGAAAGATCGTAAATTAATGGAGGAATTATTTAAAGGTATGAAGGAAAAATTAAAGGAATCTTTTAATAAGGAAAATAGTGATGATGATGATAATTATGGTGATGTATAAATAAAATTTAATATAATAAATTTTCAATTGTCAAACTTTGGATAACTGATATTTTTATCATTATTACTATTACAGCTAAACAAGAACTTCCATGAATGTAAATAGTTAATAAAACTTTGAAAATATTAAAGAACTTCAGATTCTTTAAATAAATTGAAGAGTTTTTGCTTTTTTATTGTATTGAATTTCCTGAGGTGTAAATGCAAAATCTACATTTTTTAAAACCTATATAAATTCTATGCTAAGTTACAAATTAATGTAGAATCTTATTAAACAATAATATGTTTTTTTCAAAAGTAAAATGGGGTCGATTATTATTATATTAGGTAACACACTTAAACCACTATTTTTACCATATTTTCGTAAAGAGTGACTTTTAAAACACCCATATCCCCATACCATTCATGCTAAGAAGGTTGTTTGCAATGATCGCAACCACCACCATTCTTTTTATAATAACTAGAGTGACGACGAGGGCGATAACCGCCACCACCACTCTTATGATGTACTTTATCCAGCAATATCGGCTAGTTCTTTTTCTTTTCTTCTTTTATTTATCGCAAACGACATTTTTTTTAAAAAAAAAGATGACAAATTTTATTTGATCGACAAACGCGTCATTAATTATTATTTATTATTGTTGTTACAGATTTTTTTTAACACTATGATTCGAAAGTACTTTAAAAAAAAAAATGTAACCGCCTCACCATAGATTCGCATTGATAGAAAATGGAAAAGGTCACCGTTTTTATATTATTTGAAGAAAAAAATGTTATCGGTTACATTGATTCTCAGACATAGAAAAATAAAGAATGTTATCAGTTACGCTTGTTTCGCATTATTATTATTAATAAACTAGAATAAGGCAAATTCAGTCAACCCTCACTGTTTTATATTAATGCTAATTATTATTAATACAGGTCACTCCCGTTATAAGGGCACTCATGGGACAAGCAAAAAATGTCCGTATAACAAGATGTTCTTATAACGGGAGTTCATGTCAAGTCACATGACTTGAAAAATGATTATAAAATTTTTTAGAAATTATTAAAGTCAACAATTTAGCAAAAGTTTAATTATAATCATTAATGATTAAAAGGTTTAGAAAAAAACGATTTTAAAAATTTGCAAAAATTTTTAGTGTAAGTATTGGATAATTCATAATTCTTTTATTCTTAAACATACAGGGATTTTTGGTCCAAATTTATTTTTTATTTCTTTATAATAACCAGGTGGTAAGTATTATATTATAAATTAATTTTTACAACACAAAATAAACTTTATTAAAACATCATCTAATTAAATAAATTTA